GGCTCCGGCCGGGCCCGGTGCGGGCTCCTTGTCGTGGGTCCCGAGAGTGAGTGAGCGAGCGTGGGTGGGGCGCCGGACAGAGGAGGGCCGGGCCCCTAGGGGCTTCCCAGGGCGGCGCGGGCGGGCTGGGGGCGGCGGGTGGGTGGGTAGGTGGGGAGTCTGCGACCCGGGTCGGGGTAGGAGGGAGCTGCCGAGAGAGCTGAAGTGCCCTGGACAACCCGCGGGAGGGGGTGGCATCCGCGGCGCACCCCACTCTTCCCAGCCACGTCTCAGCGGGGCCTTCCCCCACGGACCTCCCATTTGACAGATGAGAAAATCGAGGCTCCGAGGGGCCAAGTGACTCTCAAGGTCATACAGCGAGGAAGCGGCAGAGCCAGGCGGGGATGGCTCGGGGTAGCTCCTAGGAAAAGTCCTCCAGAGAACTCCGTGGAGGAACCCCGCCCCCCCCCCAGCATGGGGGGGTGTATGTGTAGGGGCAGGGTACCCTTCCGTGGGGCAAGGCTCTGCCAGCGTCCGGAGGTGAGGGGTGTCAGGGCGCCGAGGCCGCAGGGCTGGCCCTGGACCGCAGAGGAAGGGAGGACGACGGAATGGGCGTGTGTGTGCACCCACGGGGGCGTGTGCATGTGTGGTAGGTACACTGCCTTGCATGTGTGCACACGTGTGCGATGTCAGTGCCACTGTGGCCTGGCTCGAGTGAGCAGCGGGTCCTGGAGCCGGCCCCATCAGCGGGATTGCATTCTGGAGTAGAGAGCTGGGTATGTGTGCCCGAGAGTTCCTTCGTGCAGGTGTGCGCGGGGTGTGGGTGCCATTGTGTGTGTGAGACGGAGGATGGGAGGCAAGTGCCTGAGGCTCGGATGTGTGTGAGCTGGAGCGTCTGGCACCCCAATGTGGGTCCTTGGCCTGGGGAATGGAATGAGTGCCTATCCCTGTCCCAGTGACTGGAGTTGCTGGTGGAATCATACAGACACTCTCCACCCCCCCACTGTGCTAGCGCCCCCTTCTGGGCACGCTACTCCGTGTGCCTGAGTGGGTCGGGCCTGCGTGTGCGCTCACAGTTCGCCTGTGCAGTATGAGGGCCTGGGTCAGGAGCTCGAGCTGGGGAGCAAGATGGCCTTCGGAAGGGCTGAGCCCGGACCCCTGGGGCCTTCACGGAGGAGGTGGCTTGGGAGAGCGCGGTTCCCAGGCTCAGGCTTCACGCTGACGCTTCGGTGCCGCAGCGGGCTCCCCCCACCCGACCCCCCGCCCAGGAATGTTCCTCTCCAATCCTACCCGCCTTCCCAAGGGCAGGCCCCTGGGGGCCGCAACAGCTCCGCCTCCCCTCCCCGGGAGCACCGGAGGGGGCGATGCGGGCAGGACGCCTGGGTTCCTCCCCCCTCCGATCCCAGGGAGAAATTCCTCCGAGGTCCCCTCAGGCTCTGGGTTCCCAAAATAACCCTGCGGGGGAAGGGAGGCAGTGGAGGGAGGGAGGCAGGAGGGGCGCAGAGCCGAGCTGCGGGGTGCTGCTGCAGGTGCCGCTGGGGGAGAGGACGCGAGGAGAGGAGGGCCTACGGGGGGCGGGGGCACCAATCAGCCCCTGGAGTCCTGGCTCGTCCTTATCCCCGGGGAGTCCCCCGGCCCTCCCGCAACTCCGAGGGTGGGCCGGAAGCCTCTCGGCCGCTCCGTTTCCCAACTGGTGGGTTGCACCATCCAGGGCCAGACCGTTTAACCCCGGAGTGGCCGCGGCGGACGACTCCGGCCCTGCCCAGCAGGGGGCGTGCCCGCCCCGCCCCGTTCCTGCCCTCCCGGCCGCTCCCCCGGCCCTCGCCTCCGCAGACTCCCGCTCTGCCTCTCCTGGGATAGGGGTCGGGTCCGAGCCCCGTGGGAGGCTCCCGGAGCGCAGCTTGGCCCAGCCTACCCACGCCGGCGGCCATGGCGGGCACCCTAGACCTGGACAAGGGCTGCACAGTGGAGGAGCTGCTCCGCGGCTGCATCGAAGCCTTCGGTGAGTGGCACGGGAGGGCACGCCCAGCCTGAGCCCAGCTCGGAACCTGAATCCGAGTCCCTGCCTCCCAGGGCGGACCCCTGCGTGGACCCACCCAGCTCTGCATCCTGCAGCCCCTTTTACGAAAGCCTCCTTTTCATCACAGGGTAGAGAGATCTACACGCTTCAGAAGGATAAAATGTTTCCCTTCCCTAGTATGCCAGTATTGAAGGGAGGGACGGGGGTCCCCAGACTCTGACACATGAGGAGCATTATCTGTCCCCCCGGGGATCCGGAGGAACTCGCTGTCTCCGGCCTGGGAGCTGTTTCCGGCTGATGGGGGGCGGCTTATCTGGTGGAGGGGGTGCCCTTTCTCCCAAGCACTCCGGAAATGACCTCTGGATTCTTGACCCCGGGAAACCCAGGCTCCTTCCGCCCCAGCTGGTTCCCCTCCGAACGATGGGCCCGGCTCAGACGCTGCCCTCCTCCAGTTCCACGGATCCGGCCTTATCCCGCTCCCACCCTATCTTTTCTCTCTAATCTGCCTCCTGGTTTCGGAGTCCTGGGAAAGCAGGAGGTGGGCGGGGGGCTGGATACCCGGCGGGCTGCACGGTAGGGTTTAGGTACCATAGCTGCGGGACGAAAGGTCAGCCCGCTTCTCTTTGACCCCTCGGAGTTAGATGACTCCGGGAAGGTGCGGAACCCGCGGCTGGTGCGCATGTTCCTCATGATGCATCCCTGGTACATCCCTTCCTCTCAGCTGGCGGCAAAACTGCTCCACATATATCCTTCGCGGGCCTCACCAAGGGCCCTGCAGTCCGAATCCATGAGCGAGCCAGGTTGCCCAGCCCAGGCCGAGAATGGGCTTTACTGCCAGAGCGTGGGCCCCTCCTACGTCCCAGAATTCAGGCTCCGCCCAGCCTCCCTCTGGGGCCGAGGATCTACCCCTTTCCTCCCCTCATAATTCAGGCCCCGCCCCCGACTCTCTCCCCAACCTAGGCCTTGCTCTCCGCCCCCCTGCAGTCTAGGACCTGTCCCTACTGCCAGCCCGGGGCCCGCCTCTGGCCTCCCTCCCAGAACCCAGGCCCTGCTCTGAGCCTCCCCTAGAACCTAGCCCTCTTCCCACCCATGCACCCTCCCAATGCTCACGCCTCACCCCTGCCGTCAACTCTTCTCCAGATCTCCGGCCCGGCCCTCGCCCCAGACTCCGCCCCCAGCATGTCTCCTAGAACCAGGCCCCGCCCTCAGCGTCCCTCCAGAACTCGCGCCACATCCCTTACCTCCTTTTCTAGAATTAGTCTCCGTCCTGGTTGTCCTTAACTCTCCTTCACCTACCAACAATCCCGGAAGGACAATTCTAGTTCGCTGCAGGTGAAAACGTGCCACCTGGTCAGGTGAGCCTTCCTCCTGGGGCTCTGAGCCCTCTGTTCGCTTCCCTCCCTCTGGCTTCAGACTGGCCTGAGGAGTTGGTCCTGTGCGTTTGAACCAGGCTCTGTCCATGGTGGGTGTGCCCCTCCTGGTCCGGGCCTGGGTTTTCTCATCTGCCCAGTGGGGATGAGGAAGGAAAGAGCTGGGAGACGGGAACCACAGTTTGAGGCTCTTTCCTCCTCTTTGGGGAGCTACAGTCCCAGGGGATGGTGGGGGAAGGGCTGCCTTGGATGACTCTGGTCCTCCACCAGGTACTGGATCTCAGCATTCCCAGCGGAGTTTGACTTGAACCCCGAGCTCGCTGAGCAGATCAAGGAGCTGAAGGCTCTGCTAGACCAAGAAGGGAACCGGCGGCACAGCAGCCTCATTGACATCGAGAGCGTGTGCGTGGGGGGAGCTCAGAGGGCTGGGGAGGGCACTCCGCATCCTGCACCGTCGGTGCTTAATAAATGTTCAATGAATTGAATGAGCGAGGGTCATACCACTCTCTTGCTTAAAAACCTTCTATGGCTCCCTGTCGCCTTCAAAATGTCTCGGCTGGGGATTGAGACCTTTCATAGTCTGGGGCCGGCTTGGCGTCCCTGCCTCATCTTCCACAGCCCACCGCCATCGCTTGCACCTCATACTGCAGCTGCACCGGTCCACTCGCCATCCTCCAGCCCCTGCATCCTTTCCCACCACGATGCTGTGCTCATATTGTTCCCTTGCCTCCTTCTCCATGTCGTCAAGTCTCAGCTCAAGCGTGCGGTGTCCGTGGGCCCTGAGGGCTCCCGGCTCTTCCAGGGCAGAATTTGTCATTCCCTCCTCTGTCCCCCCATGGCCCTTTGTGCAGACCCCTGTGCAAAGACCTGTACACGTGCCACGCTGTTTTGTGATTGTTTGTTCTGTGTCTGTCTCCCTCAGTAGCCTGTGAGCTCCTCGAGGGCAGGAACCGTGTCTTGCCATCTCTGTACCCCCAGCGCCTAGCAGTGCCTGGCAGAGTACGTCTTCCATAAACGTGTGTGGAGTGCATGACGAGGGGGAGACTGCAGGTGTTGCTGGGACTGGGGACGTCCATGTGTGTCCTCAGTCTGCTTGAGTGGCGTGTCTGCATGAGTGTGGGGCCATGAGGGGTGGGGCACCTCCCGCGAAGGGCTCACTGCCCCTGCCCCCCCAGCCCCACCTACAAGTGGAAGCGGCAGGTGACCCAGCGGAACCCCGTGGGACAGAAAAAGCGCAAGATGTCCCTGTTGTTTGACCACCTGGAGCCCATGGATCTGGCGGCGCATCTCACCATCTTGGAGTATCGCTCCTTCTGCAAGATCCTGGTGCGGCCCGAGGGCTTTTGGTCAGGGGTGGATCGCGGGCTGGGGAGGGAGTCCCAGGAGGGACAGGGTCCCTGGGTAGGCGGGGACACAGGGTGGGTCAGGGGTTTCAGTGTAACCACCAAAGCTGGAGGGTGAGGAGTGGCGGGTGGTGAGGGTAGGGGTACTGAGGCCGCTGTGACCCCCAGTTCCAGGACTATCACAGTTTCGTGACGCACGGCTGCACCGTGGACAACCCCATCCTGGAGCGATTCATCTCCCTCTTCAACAGTGTCTCGCAGTGGGTGCAGCTCATGGTTCTCAGCAAGCTCACCGCCGCCCAGCGGGCCCTGGTCATCACACACTTCGTCCATGTGGCAGAGGTGCCCGCCCCTCCCCCACCCCCAACCTCCCCAATTGCAGGTAGGGCTGAGTCCCTCCCTTCCCCGCTGCCTCCTCTCCAGGAAAGCTGGGCCAAATTCTGGACCCGTTCAGTGACTCCCTGCCTCCCCCTCCTCGTGTGCCCCCCAGAAGCTGCTGCAGCTGCAGAACTTCAACACGCTGATGGCGGTGGTCGGAGGCCTGAGCCACAGCTCCATCTCCCGCCTCAAGGAGACCCACAGCCACGTTAGCCCTGAAACCATCAAGGTGCCTTGGACTGGAGGGGTCAGGGGAGCAGCCTTGTCAAGCCCTGGGGCCAGCACTTCCCAGGCCTGGCCTCACTGAGAACTCCCAGCAGCGCTGGGGGCTGGGCAATCCTGTCCGCACTTGACACATGGGGAACCTGAGGCTCGGAGGGGGTAAATGCTTTTCCCAGGTTGCACAATGAAAGTGGCCAAGTGGAGGCTCACAGGTCAGCCTCACTCCCAAGCTTGTGTTTCCTTTTCCTTTTATTTTTTTTAACGTATCAGGTGACATTCATATATAGGAGTATACACAATATATGTACAGTTTAAGGAAAAATTATAAAGAAAACGCCTGTATAACCACCAGACCCAGGTTGAGAAATAGAACATTGCCAGCCCCCGAAGCTCCCAGCACCTTAGAGCTTAACTCCCGCCCCATCAGATGTCACCAATGTCTGACTTTCGGAATGAAGATGAGTTTGCTTCTCTTTATAGCTTTACCACCTATGTATGTCCCCCAAAACAATCGGGTTTTGTAGCCTGTTTTTGAACTTTCTATGAATGGAATCATGTTGTGTATGTTATTTTATGTCTTCTTTTATTCTTACATTCTGTTATGTGGAGCAATCATTCGTTCATTTCCGTTCCTGTATAATATTTTATTATAAGTCCACCCCAATGTATGTATCTACTATTGAACAATTTGGGAGTTTTCCAGTTTTGGCTGTCATGAATGACACAGCTAAGAATATTCTAGATCATTGTTCTAGTTGCTTTGCCTTCCTGAGCCTCAGTTTCTTCTCCTGTTAAACATGGATGATAATCTGTGCCCAGCCCTGGTGTCGAGGTGTGGTATTTGGCAGTGCGTGTTCCCTTGAACTCATGACCTATGAACTTTGACCACCAGGGGCTAAGGGAGGCAGTGTTGGGGGACAGTGAGGGAGGTCTTTGACCTTTCACTCATCCCTGACTCTGACTCCTGATCCTCTCCCACGTTTCCAGGGCTGAGCGGGGGAGAGCAGTTGAACCAGTGACGTGTGTGTGTGTGACTCTGTGCCCTTTGCCCCCCAGCTCTGGGAATGTCTGACAGAACTAGTGACGGCCACTGGAAACTACGGCAACTATCGGCGCCGGCTGGCAGCCTGTGAGGGCTTCCGTTTCCCCATCCTGGGTGTGCACCTCAAGGACCTGGTGGCCCTGCAGCTGGCACTGCCGGACTGGCTGGACCCCACGCGGACCAGACTTAACGGGGCCAAGATGAAGCAGCTCTTCAACATCCTGGAGGAGCTAGCCATGGTGACCAGCTTTGAGCCCCCAGTGCAGGCCAACTCCGACCTGCTGAGCCTGCTCATGGTGAGGGGCGGGGCCCAGGGTGGACAACCCACCTGGTCCTGGGCTTACCCACGGCTGCGGGCCTTGAGGTCTCAGTTCTAGTCAAGGAACTGAGATCCAGCCTGGGCTGAGGGTTTGGAATGAACTCAGATGGGTTCCAGGCTCCAGATGGGGCTGTGGACTGAGGTCTGATCCCGAGGCTGGCGTGTGAGGCTGGGCCCGGGCCCTTGGTTGAATTGCTAGCAGTGGGTTGTGTTCAAGCTTTGGAGCCAAGCTCTGGATTCAGGGTGCAGGGGTGGTTTCTAAACATGGTCCTGAGCTCTGAGGTTCTGGGCTTGGCCTCGAACTCAGTTTTGAGGTCCAGGGTGGGAGTCGGGTTCTAGTCTAGATCTGGACTAGGCTCTAGACATTGGGCTGGGGTGTCAGTGTTGGGTTTGGAGTGAATTCTTAGCTGTTTCTAGGCTCTGGACTGGGATCAGGGTTGAAATCGGAGCGGGAGTCTGGATGCTGCGTTGGGTTCTAGGTTGGGAATGAGTTCCAGAGCTCTCGGCGGGTTCTGACCTGGATTCTTAGCTGAGATCTTGGCAGTGCGTTGTGCCGAAGGTTTGGGGCCAAGCTGTGGGTTTGGTCTGTATGCTAAGCTGGTGTGTGGTTGCTGGGGTGTGTTCTAAGCTGGCCTTTGTCCTGAGTCTAGCATCTGGACTGGGCTCGGGGTTGAGCTGCGGCCTCTGGGTGGACCTGTGACTTTGGGCTCTGGGCAGTGGGCTCCTGAGAGCAGCAGGGGCCGTGGGTGTGACCAGACGCATGTGTCCCAGGTGTCTCTGGATCAGTATCAGACGGAGGATGAGCTCTACCAGTTGTCCCTGCAGCGGGAGCCGCGCTCTAAGTCCTCGGTGAGTGAGGGAATCCCTGGGTCCCCGCTCTGCCGTCCTGTCCCCCCACCGCCGCCCCGCCTGAGAATCCCAGGACGTGAGGGCAGGAGGGGCTCTCGGAGGCTACCCCACCCACCTTCCTTGTTGGGGAGGCTCCCTTCTCCCCGGAGCTTCCCCTCTCGGCTCCCCTGGGCCCTGGGCTCCCTCACCTCCAGCCCTCGCTCAGGCCTGACCATTCCCACAGCCAACCAGCCCCACAAGCTGTACCCCACCTCCCCGGCCCCCAGTGCTGGAGGAGTGGACCTCAGCTGCCAAACCCAAGCTGGATCAGGCGCTTTTGGTGGAGCACATAGAGAAGATGGTGGAGGTGAGACTCTGGGGGGCCGGGTCTGGGGGGGACAGGTCCGTAGTGGTCAATCAAGGCGGGTTTTGCTAGGGCACCGCCCTGGGAGCCACCACCAGTACCGTGTCACAGAGTGTAGCCGATGGGTGGGCTTGGGGGGGGGTATGGAAAAGGGAGGTGGTGGGGGAGACAGACAGCCACCCCCATCTGAGACACTCTTCATGACTTGGACTGGGAATGTGGGCAGGACGGGCCAATGCTTCTTTTATTTTTCCCGCCCCGTGTGTTCCTCTGTGTTCCCCAGTCTGTGTTCCGGAACTTTGACGTCGACGGGGATGGCCACATCTCACAGGAAGAGTTCCAGATCATCCGTGGGAACTTCCCTTACCTCAGCGCCTTTGGGGACCTCGACCAGAACCAGTGAGGAGGGCTGGGGGCTGGGAGAGAGGGAAGGCAGGCTCACTTCCCCTCGGGTTTGTTTCCTCCTGGGCTAGATGAGGCCATTGAACCAGACCATCTCGGCCGAGGAAGCTACCAGTGTGTGGAGGGGCTCTTACTGGGGGGAGGCTGCCAGCTTCGGGGGCACTGGGTTACCTCACTCATTCAGACAGATGGGGGGCTCCACTTGAATCTTGCAAAAACCGTGGCCTGGGGACTGTTGCTACGTAAATGAACTTTTATTTGCGGAGCTCACAGCTGGTAAAAAGTGTGGGCAAGTTGAACTCCTGGGTAGCCTGTTTTAATGAGTAGATGAGAAAGGCCCATAATTAGCAGCACCCACTTACTTATGAACAATCCCCCCACTGACAATTTGGACAAACAGCTGGTTCGTTTTTTTTTTTTTTTTGTGAGGAAGATTGGCCCTGAGCTAACATCTGCCAATCCTCTTTTTGCTGAGGAAGACTGGCCCTGGGCTAACATCCATGGCCATCTTCCTCTACTTTATATGGGACACCGCCACAGCATGGCTTGACAAGTGGTGCGTATGTGTGCGCCCGGGATCCGAACCAGTGAACGCCGGGCCGCGGCAGTGGAGCGCGCGCACTTAACCGCTTGCGCCACCGGGCCAGCCCCAAGAGCTGGTTCTTGAAGTAGGTTAAACACACCCCCTGCAACCATGTTCATACCTCTGTTTTGCTGAGTAGACAAAACTCCAATCAAAATTCGTAGTCCATCCCAGGTCGATTTATTTTTTCGTGTTATCCATATTTCAAAAATCTGGGTTTTTTCATATTACAAAAATCCGTGGTAAAAAAAAAAAAATCCAGGGCGCCAGCCCCATGGCGTAGTGGTTAAGTTCAGCATGCTCTGCTTCGGCGGCCCTGGTTTGCAGGTTCAGATCCCAGGCACAGACCTACACCACTCATCAGCCATGCTGTGGCAGCAACCCATGTACAAAATAGAGGAAGACTGGCGCAGATGTTAGCTCAAGGCTAATCTTCCTCAAGCACAAAAAAAAAAAAAAAATCCAGATAGTAAAATAGATTTATAGTGAACAAAGTATATAAAGTAAGAAGTGAAAATTCCCTCCCTCCTTTCCCATCGTAGAGGTTGGTATTGGTAACACTGTTAGCAGTGTTACTGGTTTGGCACCACGTGTATCCTTTCAGTCTTTTTTTCATGCGTGTGCAAATTGATACAGATTTTGTCTGTCTGTGTCTGTTTCATGAACAAGCGGGACGATAGGATAAATCTAGTTCTGCTTGAGATCTTCATTATGGTTGCCTTGTTTCTGCTTCCAGACTTGAGACAGAGTTCCATGTTATCCCCATGGCTTGGGTGGATTTTTTTCCAGGCCACACTTTTAGGAGGGTGCAGCCCTTGGAGACCTTTGAGGCCCCGAGTCACGCAGGGTTCTCAGCCTTAACTCCTCACGGCTGCAGGCCCCAGGCCTTGTGCCCAGCCCCTGATTGGCTGTCAAAACCCAGCACCTGGCTCACCCAGAGGGGGACCAGCCCCCCGCAATGGCCGGCCCCAACTCACTGCCCCAGCTTGAAGCTCCCTCTTTGTTTCTGGAACGTAGGGGTTTCCATTTCTTTCTTGCCAACTCACCTATGCATTTAAAGCAATTTTGGACATATTTTAACCAGCGTCTGGGTATTCACAGCAGTAGGGTTGTAAGGTGGGGTTTTGTTGTTGTTACTGTTTTGATCTCATCTTGATGGAACTGCCCATCTTGCCCTTTTTGTTTTCCACTTAACCTTTTGTCATCGACGTCTTTCCATGCCGATTCACGTAGAACTACCTCATTCTTTAGAACAGCTGCAGAGTATTCCACTGGGTGGCTGGGCCATCATTTGCTGTTCTTCTGCTCATGGACAGTAGACTGTTCCCAGTTTGTTGCTATTAATATACGCCATGCTGCCGTGAACATCTTTGTACCATGCACTGAGGCCACTATTTCTGTAGGAGAATTTCCTAGAAGTGGGATAATTGGATCAAAAGATATGCACATTCTAAATTAGGAGAGAGACTGCCAAAGTGACCTCAGGCAACGTTGTGCCAGCTTGCACCCCCATCAGCAGTGAACAAGTGCCCGTTTCCCAACTTCCTTGCCAACGGTGGATGCTATAATAAGCTTTACAATTTTGCCAGTCTAATTGGCAAAATGGTGTCTTGGTTAAAATCGCATTTCTTTAATACTGGTGGGGGTAGGATATCTTTTCGTATGTTTATCGGCCACTTATATTTCTTCTGTTAATTGCCTCTTCATATTCTTTGTCCATTATTCCACTGGGTTTGTTGGTCTTTTTCGCATTGATTTTTAGAATCTCTGTTAATGGTTATTAACCCTTTGCTGTTGAATGTGTTTGCAAATATTTTCTCCCAGTCTGTCATTTCTGTTGTCTTTTTCCATATAAAAAATTTGAAAAGTTTTGTGTGCTCGGTATGTCAGTCTTTTCCTTTGTGGCTTCTCGGATTTGTGTTATGTGTGGAAAGGCCCTCATCCTCTCAGGATTACAAAATTATTCTATCTTTTCAGATACTTCGATAATTTTATTTTTTACATTAGTGTTCTCAGTTCAGTGGGAATTTAGTTTTCATGCACAGTATAAGGTAGGAATCTAGGTTGAAATTTTTTTTCTAGATGGCCAGTTGTCCCAATGCCCCCTTGATCTGAGGGACCACCTGGATCACATTATGGATCCCCAGATACCATGGGTGGAAGTTTGCAACAAGGGCCAGCCCTGACCTATTAACTACACAGACGCTGTTGTAAATGCTTCCTGGGCACTATCTCATTGAATCCTTACAAAACTCCTCTGAGCTGTAGGAACAATCAGATCCCCATTTACAGAAGAGGAAACTGAGGCACAGGGAGATTAATCAGCCCGAGGTCACACGGCCGGCAAGTAGTGGAGCCAGAATTTGAACTGAGTCTCTCTATCTCCCCAGCACATCACTCTTGCCCTAAAATACGTAACTAGGTGAAAAAAGGGTTCTGTGGAGGTCGTGGATTACGTGAGAAACCCCGACTACAGGGGTCTTTCCGGCAGGACCATGCAAGTGAGAAGCGTGTGGCTTTTCCCAATCTTACGTGGTCCCCAAACTCATCAGAGATCTCTTAATTCTCAGGGCTCCAGACTGGTGTTCCGCGGAGCTCACTTTGGGAAACAGAGGCTGATAATCCCATGGGAAAGTGCGCAGCCCATTTATTTTCCACACCAACTCCGTGAAGTGGGCAGGGCAGGAATAGTGATCCCCATTTTCTGGGGAGGAAACCCAGGGAAAGTGTCTTGCCCAAGACCACACAACTAGTTAGCAGCAGCTTCTACCTCAGCCTGCCTCCACGTCTAGTGCTCTTTCTCTTCCCTGCACCTGGGGGCCCAAATCAGGAGTTCCGTGAAGACCCTTAGTATGGTAGGGGGTTTCCCCCGTGGGATGGGCTAGGCCGGTGGGGGTGGTCCTGGGAGGCCCGGAGCTGAGGCGCGTCCCCTCCCCCGACAGGGATGGCTGCATCAGCAAGGAGGAAATGGTGTCCTACTTCCTGCGCTCCAGCTCCGTGCTGGGCGGCCGCATGGGCTTCGTCCACAACTTCCACGAGAGCACCTCCTTGCGCCCGGTCGCCTGCCGCCACTGCAAGGCCCTGGTGAGCCCCCGCGCAGGCCACACCCCTCCCGCCCTGGCTCCGCCCCTGCCCCGCCCCTGCCGGAGCCGTCTCAGCCGAGGCAAGCCTTCGTTCCACCTGCCTCTTCTCCGGCTGCTCTGCGCCTGCCCCTGAGGCGCCCTGAGGCCCCAGAGAGGGTCGGTCCCAGTCCCTGCCCTTGAGAAGGAAGAAGTAGAGCCATCACTTCTAAGTCCCTCCCCTCCCAGCACGGCCCCGTCCTCTATTTCAGATCCTGGGCATCTACAAGCAGGGCCTCAAATGCCGAGGTGAGATGGAACGGCAGGGCTGCTGGGCTGAGCTCTTTGAGACGAGTCATTATCTGGGTGGGGATTCTTATTTTGGCGGGGCACCTGCAAAGGAGTGAAGTACCTTGGAGCCAGAGAGGCATGATGATTATATGTGAAGGGAGTAGCCTTTAAGAGGGCTTTTATTTCGGTGAGGCAGCTGCCTTGGAACAGAGAACTTCGGAGAGGGCATAGACTGGCAAGTAGGACGAAGAGAGCACTTTGGCAGGAAACTCTTGTTTTGGTGGGGCAGCTGCTCAGGAGCAAAGGGACCTGGGGAGAGGTCCAGGCCCGCAGAATGGGATGGAGGGTGTTCTGACGCATGGCCCTGGCTGGGCTCCCCATCTGCCTCCCCCAGCCTGTGGTGTGACCTGCCACAAGCAGTGCAAGGATCGCCTGTCCGTCGAGTGTCGCCGCCGGGCCCAGAGTATGAGTCTGGAGGGGTCTGCGCTCTCACCCTCACCCACACACACCCACCATCGAGCTTTCAGCTTCTCCCTGCCCCGCCCGGGCAGGCGAGGCTCCCGGCCTCCAGGTAAGAGGGGGTCTCATTCTGTCCCGGCCTGTAGAGGGAGGGAGGCAGGGCCATTGTGGCAAAGTATTAATCTATCCAGGATGGAAATCATTCCAGAGTTTGTCATTCTCTTATTTTGGTGGGGTGATGAAAAAGGGTTGGACAGGTAAGGCTGCCAGAAGGTGGCAGGGAGCCCTTGACCTTTGGAGGCTGAGGCGGAAAGAGACTCTAATATATAAAGGAGAGTAAAAGGGAAAGAAGCTTCAGGATTCCAGTTGCACTCTTATTTTGTTAGGGAGATTGACAACGGATTGGAGAAGGAATTTTGTGAGCCGTTTGTCTGAATTTCCCTTTTTGGCTTCTCTGGAGGCCATCCTGAGAAAAGTTCCTTGCCCCGAAAATCTCCGGACGGATCTCTTGGGGTCTCTGGTGGTTTTAGGTCAGCTTTCTGAATCACGATTCCTCAAATGATTATTTTGCTGGGAACAGTCTGAACAGCTGCGTTAAACTGGGGTCTAAGGGCAGTTGACCACAGCCATTGGGATTGGCATAAGTCCTCAAAAATAGAAAAGATAAAACCATTTGCATCGAGCCTTCCAGAAGTGCTGGGGTCTGCAATGTGAAAGACACACAAAATTGACATTTAAGCAGACTGCACGGACAGATCTGTGGCTGCAAAAAAGATGCAGCAGAATAAAAACTTAGAGAAAGAGCCTCAAAAATTGGGCCGTTGGGTCATTCCGTGAATTGATTTTTGGTGGATGGGTCTGCTTCTGGGTGGGACGGGTGCCTCCTGTGAGTAGGGGAAGGGCTCCTGAAGGCTCAGGGACCCAGGAGTTGGTCCTGTGGTCCCCCTCCCTGCAGAGATCCGAGAGGAGGAGGTACAGACCGTGGAGGACGGTGTGTTTGACATCCACTTGTAATTGATGGTAAGCCTGCCACAGTGGCTCCCCCCTGAGGGCTGGGGAGTGGGGGGATCAGGGAAACAGGCACTCTGTCCACATGGCCCAGGCCAGGCAGACTCCTACCTTTTTGAGGAGGATCTTTCTTACAACCTCTGTTTTTCTCTCCCCAGTTGTGACTGGATCAAGCACTCATGCCTGCCTTGGAGAAAAGACTCGGGACCATAGCAGGGAGCCTGGGGCAGCAGGCTGGGGCTGGGGCGGGTGTGAGGGTGGCATGCGGCTGAGGGCAGGGCCAGGGCTGGTGTCCCTAAGGTTGTACAGACTCTTGTGAATATTTGTATTTTCCAGATGGAATAAAAAGGCCCGTGTAATTAATCATCAGAGCCCAGAATCCTCGTCGGGGGTGGGGGGCTGTAATCACAGGGACTAGAATCTTAGAATCTAGACTTTGTAGTAAGAGAATCTTGGGTGATCTGGAATCTCATGTGTTTGGAATCTTGGGGGGACTAGAATCCTGGGGGATAGAACCTTAGAACCAGAAAACCTTGGAACATAAGAATCTTGGGGAGGGTCTAGAATCTCGAGGAGTCCAGAATCTTAGGTGTCTAAAACTTGAAACTAGTGCATTTTTGCACCCAGAATTTCTGGGCCCAGTGGTCATGTGTAACCATAGCCTTCAGCCCACAGTCGGAATTCCCTTCCTCAACAAGTGGCCTTTCTGCGTCTGCTTGAATACTTCCAGCAATGGGGAGCTCACTACAGAGAATCACGGGAGGGAGAGGGCAGCCCAGAGTGCCGGCTGTCGGGGAAGGAGGGAGTAGGGGTTGGGCTTGCGTGCCTCTGGGTGGGGGCTGCTCTCCTTGGGCCTGCAGCCTCCTGGCCTGGTGCTGCTGCCAGCCGGAAGGACAGTGACTTCCAGAGGAAATGCATATTGATCCTGCTCTCAGCCTCCTGTGGCCTCTCCCAACCCACCTCTTCCCCCCTGAGTTTGCAGCACAGAGGTTTGGGGGGCCACCGCTCCCCGAGGAAGGCCAAGGGCACTTCTAAGGCTGGTCCGGGTGAGGAGGGTGGACTTGGGGTCTTCTCCAGTTGCTGAAGCTGGGCCAGGCCGCCCCTGAGGTCACGAGACTCCCAACAGCAGCCCCGAGAGTGGGAGCTACCCCTCCAGCCCCGTAAGCTGGGGCGGGTCCTACAGCAGCTGTGGCTGGTTCTCGGGGTGGAGGCCAGAGCACCCCAACTCCTACCTGCAAAGCATAGTATCTGCGGACCTGGCAGTGGCCTTAGCCCCCTGACCCCATACGCATCTCCCCCTTTGAGACCCCACTCCCCCGGCCTACTCCTCAATTGGGGTCACCTCCTCCTCCACCCTGTTACTTCTCAGCTGCAGCCCTGTCCCCCATTGGGTCCCCCCCTTCACCGCCCCTCCTTCAGTCCTCAGCCCCCTCCCGCCCGCCCTTCCCCCTCTCGACGCTGTAATATCCGTTTCACAATTTGGGGGCTGAGTTGCTATAACAACAGACGGCGATTGTGTTGTGAAGAGCAGCTCGCTGCCTGCGCCGCCTGCCTCTCGTGCTGCCTCCAACCCTGCAGCCTGGTCGGCTCCCCTCCCCGCCGCCCCCAGCCCCAGGCTGGCCTCTTCCGGGGGTGTGTGTGTGCATATGTGTGCTCAGGTCCGCCCCACCCTGGAGTGTGACTTGTGGCTCTTTTCATGGTTGCATGTGTGAATTTGTTGTCTGAGCCTCACATTGTGTGTGCATGTGTTTGCACGGACACACACGCTGTATTTGCTGCAATTCCCGTCCACCGTGTGTCCCCACTGGGCTGTGCATGGGAGAACGGCCACACTGGATGGGTCCCTGTTTGGGGGCGTGTCTTGAGGTGGTGGGTCCCAACTCCATGGGATAGTCTGAACCTTGGACCTTGAGGCGAAACATCCTTGTAGCTGGGGGGAGGGGCAGGGAGGTGCAGCAGCTGCCAGGTGACCTTTCCTGCCCTTGATGGGCAAAGGTGGCCCAGGGAGCTGGGGGTGGGGACAGGAGGCAAATGCTCACTCTAACATCCCTCCCAGCCCCTCCCCTCCCCCCACCCCTTCCCACACCATCAATAAGGGTTGGAGAGAGAGTCTCTGTGAGTCACTGCACCTGTCTGTCCACCTATGCCCTGGTGCCTGGCTAGACAAGTCTGCGTGTGTGTGTGTGTGTGTGTGTGTGTGTGTGTGTGTGTGTGTACACTGCAGGGAGAGGAGCAGTGGGGGAGGGTGGGCCAGTGGGCTGTGGGATCAGAGAGGCTTTTTCACATCCACACGCCCTGACTCAGCAGTTCCCATTCTCTGGCTCCTCCGGTGGCCTTGGTGGGGCCAGCCTGAGGGTCTCTCCAAGGTCAGAGTGGGCCCCCAGTCTGGGACCTGGACCTCTCTTCCTGACCCTGATGACACACCTGCTGCCTCTCCCTCTCACCCCCTCCCAGGCCGGGGGTGGGGAGACCTCTGATGGGTGGATGTACTGGCTCCTCTACTCAGTAATTGACCACTCTGTGCTTAGTGCCTCTGGGGGACAGGAGGACCCCATGGGCAAGTCCCCTGTGTGCACCTGTTTCCCTGGGCGTGCGTTTGCCTCCTAGTGTGTAGGCACCTGTATGCACAAGTTTGTGTATGCTCTTGGGCAAGGGTGTGCTTCCTGTGGGTGTCTTACCATGGTGGGGCATTTCTGCAACTGGCCCTGTGTGTCCCTTTGGGAATGCCTGTGTGCACATGGACAGGTGTGTATGGCTGTGAGTGTGCCCCTGCGTGCCCATGCATACATCAGTGGTCCAGTGTGAGTGTTCTAGCATGTTGCCTCTGGCTAAGGAAGTGCCAGCCACCGCCAGCTGTGCAGATCACAGATCCTGCAACACAAATCAGGGTCCTGGAGCGAGCTGGCAAAATCGTACACACACACACACACACACACACACTGCCTCATTCAGAAGCCCAACGTTGTGGTACACATACTAGGTGCCAGGTTCACCTTTGATTGGCTGAATGAGGGAAGGGGGGTTCCCTTTTTCCCACACTCATGCGCACCCGCCATTATGCAGACACCTCCACGGGGAAGGCCTTCACCCAGCACCTCCCTCTGAAACTCATGGTTGGGGGGAGGAGAACCAAGCTTCCCTTTAGTGCTCCTGCCAATGTGCAGCCGCGTCCCTGCCCCCAGATCTACTCCTACCCTAGTTCAGGATTCCAGGCAGGACTGGGAACCAGGCTTCAAATTCTGGGATTCCCATGAGGCAGGGCTGGGAAACCCCAAGACTTTAGGTCTGCCCCGCCCCCATCTCTGCCTTTCCCTCCCCCACTGCTTCCGTCGTTATGCCAGCAAAGACTCTCCCTCCTCAGTTCTAGGGGCAGCCAGGGCGCCCTCGGGCGGTGGGAGGCGGAGGTCTGGCTAAGGCCTGGAAAAAGCCCCCAGCAACCACGGGCAGAGTCCCCTTTCCCTAGGCTCCCGGCAGCCTGGGCCCATCCCTGGGCGTAGCCAGCAGAGGGCGCTACGTCGCGGGTCCCGCACCGGTCCTGCTCCCTCGGTGCCCCAAGCCGGGGCCCACAGCCTCCCCTTCGGCTCGTCGGCGCTGCCACCTGGGCCCGCCGGCCGAGTGATGCGGGACCCGAGGGCTCGACCCAATGGGCGAGAGGGTAGGGCGCCTGGGTTCCCGGAAAAGGCATTGGGGCTGGGATGGGGGTCTGCCTGGTTGGGGGCCCGGGAGCCAGGGCTAAGGACCGCGAGAGGCGGGGAAGAGCTCCGATGCCCTGGGGCCGGGACGCCTGGGTCCCTTGCGGGGGAGGGAGGTGGGCCCGTGGAGCAGCGGGACTGGCGGCTTCTGCGCCTTCGCATTGGCTGCACCGCTCGTCCGTTAGCGCAGCGTGGTCCAATGCGCGCGTTTGGGGGGCGGGCGCTGGTGCTGATGCTGCCGTCAGTCGGTGTTGCAGGGATGCGGCGGCGGGAGCAGCCGCCCTGACTCGCGGAGCATCCTCCTCCGAGCGGCACCGCGGCGGGGCGGGCGGACAGGCAGGCGGGCGGGGACGCGGCGGGAGCGAAAGAGTCGCGAGGCAGCCGACACCACTGGCCCCGGCTCTGCCACCCGCCGGAGACCGGGCGGCCCCGGGGCTCTGATCCCCACCCTCCAGCTCCTGGGTCCCCAGAACCAGGTACGGAGGGGGGGCTGCGGCGGAGACGGGCGGGGGGCAGGAGCTGATCGGGGGAGGGGAGTGATCGGAGGGGCGAGGGAGGCAGGAAGGATGGATTGGGGGGCGGGGGCGCTGCCGCGCTGAGAGGGCTGGCTGGGCGACAGCAAGGAGGCTAAGAGGCTGGGGGGGGGGAGTTGGGGGTCGGAGGCTCCCTGTGGAAGGGGCACTGGCCCTGAGCTGGGGCGAACGGAGGGGGTGGGATGGAGGGTCGTTAGGGGAAGGGATGGGGTGAGAAGGAGGGGCATCAGGAAGGCTGTGAGGGAAGCTCTGAAGAGGGTGCCCTAGTCTCTGCTAGCCCCAAGGGCTGGAAGCAGTGCTCGGCCACAGGGGCTGGGGAGCTGTTGTGCTCTGAAGGGTCTGCAGGGGAGAAACCAGAGAGAAACTGGGCTTCATGGGAGAAGGAGAGGAGGCCGGAGAGGGGAAAGAGAGAAGTGGAGAGGCAAGGAGCAGGGGCCAGGCCCAGGGCTTCATACTGGGGGGCATCACTGAGGACCAGGCTTTACTGGGGGATGGGAGCCAAGGGGAGACGAGGTTATCCGGAGAGAGCAGAGGGGAAGGTGCCAAGGTGCTCGAGGCAGAGATGGGTCTGTGCTGGTGGAGAGCCAGGAAAGATGGGGGGCCTGAGGGAGAGGAGCGGAAGCTTGCGGGGGAAGGTTGGGGGCGATGAGAGAGGGAGACTGGGAAATCAGTAGGAGGGGGCTATGCTGGGGTGGGAATGTGCTGGGGGCGGTGACAGGGTTATGGTCAAAGAGTGCTGCAGGGAAAGGAAGCTGCAGGGCCCTGGGCTTGCTCCCCCACC